GTGGAGCCATCAGTGGGCCTGTAGTAAGGTATTCCAAAGGTTCTGGGTAGCCTTGATAAGACTGGTTATCCCGTAAAATTTTGATATTCGGTGTCCAACGGGGGCCTTTAACGTAAAATAGCTCCGGGTCATAAGATGTTATCTTGGAAAATAAAGTGCTTTCCAATCTAATCTCCAATGACAAAAAAAAACTACCGTTAAAGCTTCGTGGTGAGCTATCGTTCAGAATACGTTAATCATCTTCTTGAGCATGGTCTATCTGTAGAAGTTCACGTGTGATTTAATCTTAACAGATATAAAGGCTTTCTGGGTTGAATTCACACAGCAAATTCAACAACTTTAAATCGATGGTTTCTAACCGAACCCCTCCCCTCCCCTTCTCCCTCCCCCGACGCTTATGATCACTTTTGGTCACTTGTAGTAGAAAGCATTAATGCAGCATATAATACCAATATTCAAAATATTGTTATTTCAGGAGACAATCCTTTTAGTCAATGTATGAGGTTTTAACATCATTTTTCGGTCGAGGGCCGTCTAAAATCGGTTTGACTACAGGGAAGAACTGAATATAATTCACTGTTAAACAAAACATTTACGCTACGTATAGATCTCATTACATTTTCTAGTTAACAATTTAATTAGCATAAGAACTTACTGAGTTTAGTTTACACAAGAACTGTTATGCAAGAGTCATAGATTTTGTCCAAAATGACGAGACCACCAATAACGTTCACGATATGGAAACTTAGAAACGCAAGTTAGCACGTTTTCATTCGGCCGAGTATCTTTTTTAAAGATACTTCTTGTTCGAGTATATATAAAGTACGTTTTGACGTTAGATTTATTTCAACAGGTGGAAAGATTTGTTTCTCAAATTCGTCTCTTTTTCCACTCACATGCGTGCATAATGCATCAATAAAAGGAAGAAAATCAAACTTTTGAGCTACAAAGAAAAGAAAAAGTTGCTTTAAAACACATTTTCTGTCAATAATTTTTTTTTTTTTTTTTTGGTTACCTTATATTTTTGTACTCCTCAGCCTTCTATAATAGTTTTATTCTATTAAGGTTTACTTAAAGTAACTGTATGTAAACAAATCTCTGTAAAATAAAAAATATATTTATTATAATAAACATGTGATCATTTTACGGACTAAGATCTAATACATACAAACGATTTCCGTCAGGTACTAGTGTAACCTTGTTCAAAGAGGCCTAGTCACTCCGAATAAAGTTTTTGAGAAAAAGGATAAAATTTCGCTTTATTTTCGGGACAAAAATGAGCAAATATGATATCATTATCATTAAACTGTCCCCCGTGTGTATTGATTACCCCATAAATTTACTCACAGTGGCAAAATAGCTCATCATGACTATACACGTATATCTTATCTGATAGATGATAACATTTATAAAGGAGCACTTGTAGTCTTATATAAAACAACGTTACATTGTTAAATACCCTAAAATATGAACGATTGTAGCATGTACGTACAATCTTTATAAACCATATAATATTGGATTTATAACCTTTTTGTGAGTGTTATTTCCGAATTAGATGTTATATTATTTATAAACAATACTATATTTGACTTATTTGTGAGTATAATATCTGAATTAAAAAACATACAAGTTTTTACTTAATAACTTATTTGTAAGAATTGTGCCTGAATAAAGTGTAATATCATTTATAAATTATACAATACTCGTATATGAGTTAAAATATTATTTGTGAGTATTTTATCGTAATAAAATGTAATATTTTCAAAAAAAAACAATACAGTATTTGATTTGATATCTTGTTCGAGATTATTTCTGAATTAAAAGTTGCACTTGTTTATAAATCACGCAATGCGTTTTTTTTCCAAAATAAGATGAATGTTATATTGTTCAAAAACATACATTCAGTAAAATCCGTTGATATTTGGTCTGTATTTTGTATGTGTCTTACATATGGTACTTTTACACAATTGCAAATTTTCATATATTTTTTGCGACATTAAAGTCAGTGTAAAAGTTTGTCCGAACTTATAAACAGTGTTACTGTTAAAATGTATGTTGTTTCATTTACGAATATAACCGAAATTTTGGAAACTAAAAATCACTAGTATTTTGCGAGTAACGTCGTGAGGAGTTCTTTGATATTACAATGAAGCAATTTTGTACAGTTCCGTATCTTAAATCCCATTAAGCCCAAAAATTCATTTTCTCAATGTTTCTTTATATTTAAATTCATAAAAAAGAAAGAGCGCATCTAGTATATTTTAATCTTCTCTGTTCTAAATAAAAACAAATCCATAAAATATTACTTTTTAAGAAATAGATAAGTATGTATTTACAAGAAGTTTACATGTACAACTATCGATTTATAGTTTTACTTTGGACACACTGATACTGATTAAGTACGGAAATATGTTTCTATAATTTATTGTTTTCAATTCAAATTTAATACAATCTCTTTTTGAATACATTATAAATGCATCTGCAATCGTTGAATATACGTCGTATATATCAAGTATGTGTTAAATTAGTTTACCTAACTTAAATATGACATTATTTATGTTCAAGTGGGAATCATAACAGGAGAGATTACCGCGTATGTATTTTTTCTTTCAAGATTTCCAGTGTTTTACTGTAATATATCAAATGATTATATACTGATAAACCACTAGCGAAATTTATTAAATATGATTTTCACTATAGCCGGACTATATCTGAATGGAAAGAATATCATATGAACTAAACGGAACAACAGACAAAAATAATGACGTATTACATGTACCTAAATGTTGCTTCTTTAGGAAAAGAAAGTCGGTGTCATCATACATCATGTAAAAAATGTAACAAAGTTAGAGAAATTTAATAGAACTATATTTCAAAATTGATGATGTGACGTCATGATGTGATGAAGTCTTAAAGGAGAATGTGGACCCTTCGGGGCAAAATCAGAAAAAAATAAATATTTAAAATCACTTAAAAGAAAATTTACTTGTTTTACATTTAAGACTGAAATATTTTTCATTTGTGAACACCAGCTATTCTATTTTCGCTCATGGCTGCGCCACTCGTGAAAATATTGTATCTAGTGTTCACTCAGTGAAATATATTTACATGCAAAACAAACAAATATCCTCTATACGACTACAAGACTTTGTTCAATTATATTTCTCTAGATCAATTATATTTCTCTACATACATTATAATATACAAAAAAGAAACATTTGTATTTATATGTATTTCCACATATTCTAGACACGTATATTGGTCGGTTGTGTAATTGAAACATGCCGTTGTGTAGTTGTGGTGTGACCCATCAATGTAATTCAGGTCATGAGCATATCACCGAGGAACAGGCGTTAAAGTGTGACTTTCTGGAAGCTGAAAGGTTTGTCTATTTTACTTCGTATACAATACTCTCACTTTAGTTAGCATAAAATGAAAAGTTTAAATGATTAGAAAGCGACACATGAATGGTTGTGGAGCATAGCAAGGCAACCAACATCCTTTTCCTTGTTTTAAATTTTAGGAGAACATTTTAAAAAAATAGTCTATCACATTGTCCTTGAAAAGGATCATGGGTCGGCCTGTATAGTCGAACTTCTAGGCCACTGACTTCAAAGTGATTGGTCTTTTAACACTATCGGTTCAAATCTCGCAAGTAAAAAGATTTTATCGCGTGGGGAAAACTTTCCAGCTGGCTAATGTAATTTATTGAGACGCTTTCTTTTGACAGAGGTCATGTGACTTTATACGTCAAACGTTCGTCATATGTTTCAGGTAAAAAAAGAAACAAAGGCTTTTGGTTACGTGTTGGAAATATCTTGAAAATTTCGTTTATCGCAATAACAAAATGTTACAACATGATTATAGAAATAAATCATATTTAGTTAATGTTATTTCATAATTTATTTAAGCTTATATTATATAGACGGGAGTGTTGCGTGTATGGGATATAATGAATATATATTAACTCTACAAATGAAAAAAAAACGATTTTTGTCCTGAGTTGGAGGATATACTTTTTGGACGATCAATGTTCGCATTAGGTCCTTATTTCAAAATGTTTGACACAAATTAAACTTATCCATGCTAGAACTAAAAAGAAAAATGGGCTTTTAATAAATGAAATATATCTACAAGTGTTGTTCAGAGCCATGTTTGTCTTTGGATTTTGGTGTTAGTGGTTTTGTGTTTGAAATCAATTTGACTAGTTGGCCAATTGGAATGGAATTTCTATCCAACTGATCCACTTTTATATAAAAATGATAATGCTTTTCTGATAAAATTATGGAAAATTACCGCGCACCGAGATCAAATTCCTTTCATTTTGCACACTTTCACACTATTATTTGTATATTTTAACTATAACTATTTTTCCAGGGTTACCCAACAATTTTCGTGGCACAAAATTCCGCCTGGGCCCCTTGTCACTGGTTCTTGTTGCTGGGTCATGTAAGGGTTGCGATCATTGAACGCCGCCTTTCTTTGTTGATCTTGTTTTATCATATTTTGTTAAAAGAGATTTTTTGTCACGATAGCATCTGTTAAATCTGCATTCAAAAAAGCAAATCTTCTCACCCAGGATGACACAAATAATTTACATGAAACCTCATATAGATCAATGACGATAATAAGTCCCAAGCATTTGACTGAAATATTTATGTTCGTGAAGTTGGCAGCCTAGCAGCCTGGCAGCCTGGCAGCCTAGCAGCCAAAAGAAAACTAAGAATAGTACAAACATAAAATCGTCGGAAATACATAAGTAGCACTTCTTTAGATCATTCCACGCCTTTTTCAATATCGTGATCTTTATTTTTTTAAGATGTTGAACTTCATCTTAACATGATTGTTTTATTCTGACGCTCCGAAATTTGTGAAGTTAGCAGCCTAGAAGGATAGTACAAACATGAAAACCGTCGGAAATGAATCGGTAGCAAATACTTAGACCATTCCATGTCTTATTTCAGTATCGCGTACTTAAATTTTTTAAAGAAATTAACTTTGTTGTTTTTTTTATTTTGACACTTCGAAATTTGTGAAGTTAGAAGCCTAGTAGGATAGTACAAACATGAAAACCGTCGGAAATGAATCGGTAGCAAATACCATTCCATGTCTTATTTCAATATCGCGTACTTTATTTTTTATTAATAATTAACTTTTTTTATTTTGACACATCGAAATTTGTGAAGTTAGCAGCCCAGCAGCCTGGCAGCCTAGCAGCCTGGCAGCCCAGCAGCCTAAAGAAAACTAAGAATAATACAAACATGAAAACCGTCGGAAATGAGTCGGTAGCACATACTTAAACTATTTCACGTCTTTTTTTCAGTATCGCGAACTTTTTTTTTTTTTACTCTTCGTCTTCGAAATTTGTGAAGTTAGCAACTTAGCCTAGCAAATACTTAGACCATTCCATGTCTTATTTCAGTATCGCGTACTTTATTTTTTTTAAATAATTAACTTTTTTTATTTTGACACTTCGAAATTTGTGAAGTTAGCAGCCTAGCAGCATGGCAGCCTAGCAGCCTAGCAGCCTGGCAGCCTAACAGCCTAAAGAAAACTAAGGATAATACAAACATCGGAAATTAGTCGGTAGCACATACTTTTCCACGTCTTTTTTTCAGTACCGCGAACTTTATTTTTTTAAATATTGAACTTTGTTTTTTTTTTCTTTTACTCTTCGTCTTCGAAATTTGTGAAGTTAGCAGCCTAGCAGCCTAGCAGCCTAAAGAAAACTAAGGATAATACAAACATGCAAACCGTCGGATATGAATCGGAAGCACATACTTAGACCATTCCACGTCTTATTTCAGTTTTGCAATCTTTATTTTTTTAAAAATTGAACTTTGATTTTTTAGTGTTTTGTTTTTGACACTTCGAACTTTGGGAAGTTAGCAGCCTAGTAGGATATTACAAACATGAAAACCGTCGGAAATGAATCGGTAGCAAATACTTAGACCATTCCACGTCTTATTTCAGTATCGCAATCTTTATTTTTTTAAATATTGAACTTTGATTTTTTAGTGTTTTGTTTTTTTGACGCTCCGAAATTTGTGAAGTTAGCAGTCTAGTAGGATATTACAAACATGAAAACCGTCGGAAATGAATCGGTAGCAAATACTTAGACCATTCCATGTCTTATTTCAATATCGCGTACTTTATTTCTTTTAAATAATTAACTTTTTTATTTTGACACTTCGAAATTTGTGAAGTTAGCAGCCTAGCAGCCTGTCGAAAATGAATCGGTAGGACATACTTAGACTATTCCGCGTCTTTTTTTTTCAGTATTGCGATCTTTTTACTTTTTTTTAAATATTGAATTTTGTGGTTTTTTTGGGGTTTTTTTTTTTACACTTCGAATGTGAAGCCTAGCTAGGCTTCTAACTTCACAAATTTCGAAGCGTCGAATGAAAAAAATATGTTACGATAAAGTTTAACATCTTAAAAAATAAAGATCACGATATTGAAAAAGGCGTGGAATGATCTAATTTAAAAGAAGTGCTACTAATGTATTTCCGACGGTTTTCATGTTTGTACTATTCTTAGTTTTCTTTAGGCTGTTAGGCTGCCAGGCTGCTAGGCTGCCAACTTCAGGCTGCTAGGCTGCTAGGCTGCCAACTTCACGAACATGTGAAAAAAATCTAGTTAAGGTTCTGTGTGCATGTAAGTTCGTGGACTTCAAAGCCCTAGTGTGTCTTTCAAAGTAATTATACACTGTGAATAAAAACGTCCAATATTTCGTGTATTGATGTGCTGTTATGAGTATTTTTTTATAATCTAAAAGGTTGTGTTGCAGCATGAAAGTTAGTCCATTCGTGAATCCTAGATAACAAAACTTTCTTCCTGGTTTGTACCTTCTAAACTTTACATTTTGATCCCTTAATATGTAACCAAGTTACGTTTTAGGTGTGTATTTGTATAACATTCGATTTAAGTCTTAAATATGTTGTCTTTCGTGCACGAATATGTTATCAACGAGTACCTGTCATATTAAACTTAACTCCATAAAAATGGTAAAAAAAAATAATTTTATATTCGAATTGGAGGGATTAGAATGTATTGTTGCGGGAATTAAATGGACTTTGCTTATGGTTTCTAGGATTTTAAAAATTGAAATACCCAAAATTCTAAAAGAATATGATTTTAATAAACAGCAGATTAACGACATTTAACCACATGCTGACAATAATAGCTAGATATAATAAAGGGTTTATTCTTATTCGAAAGTAAAGTGTGTGTGTGTTCTTAATAATATCAACTTTATTTAATTTTGAGGACGAGATTTAAGTCATATTGCAACAAGGAAGCTTTCGAGAATAGATTATTGAAGGATGATTATACATACATAAGGCATGCACGTCCTTCGTGCATTGTTTTAACCATGCGCATGCACCGATCGTGATTTATTTCAAGAACACACATAATTTGTGCATAATTTTAGAAACGCGCACGCACCCTTTTTATACATGTATAATGGTACGCATGTGCGCCATTTGTGCATTATTTCAGTCATGCGCACACTTCGTGCACTGTTATGTTATACTTCAGACACGAACACTTTTCTTACATTCGTTTGAGGCACATGCATTATTTCAGACATTCGCAGCCTTCCTGCATTATTTCAAGCATTCGCAACATTCCTGCATTAATTCATGCACACCCGTGCAATATTTTAGACTCGCGCACCATTCGTGCAATATTTCAGGCATGCGCATCGATCAAGCACACACACCTTTTGTGTATAATTTCAGGGACAAACAATCTTCGTGCATTTATTTCAGACACGAATACTCTTTTCAGGATATTAATATCTTTTATTTTATGCTTTTCAGTTGATAACTGATTTATTCATGAATATTATATTTGATAATTTCACACTGTAAATTATCAAAATATAATTTCACACTTTTCAATGACGAAACTGCTTTTTTAAAGATTTTCCCCATGTGGTACCTCAATTTTATTTTTGCTGACAATTCTGACAATGTCAGGCTGTTTAAAGAAAAAGGAAAGCTGACATTGATAAATAACTTAAATGTCAAAAGTATAAAAAAGAAGAAAACTTACTTCTATTCATTCCAATTCCAATCACCAAATTTTGTCTCTAAATGTTTTTGTTTCATTTTTACAGTCTGAAAAATAGATTCCTTTCACATGCAAAACTGCTCTTGATGACATTTGGTCATATTAAAGTATCCTTCGAGTAATAACTGCCGTATGCTTTGTGAAAAATTGAAAAGCAATGACAGCCATCAGCCCGAAGAATAAGTAAACAACCCAGCGTTCCTGAGCCAGCTTCAAAGTTTTCAATTTTCCTAGCTGCTTTTTGAAGGTTTTCACATCTGTCAACACTTATTTTTTGTCTGTTACAATCCTCAAATGAGTTTTCTTTCTTTTAAAAAAGGTGTATGACTAACAAATCCAAATGATATACCTCTGAATCAAACACAATTATTTTCCTCCCTTGAAATACACATCTTAAAAAAATGGCTGCCGCTTACATTTAACAAAGCCAGCTCTAATATAATTTCGCAATAAGTAACTGAAATATGGATGTATGGTTGGACTTTTTCTCCAACAAGAATTGTTTGTTTTTATTATCAAAACAAGCGATCATTCATATTATTTTAATAAAATGAATAATATCACGTCATTTAACGTTGATTGCCGAACTTATTTTTCAGCTCAAGACTTCTTGTATTTAATGAGATATTCCGACTAAATGGGGTTCTCAATGGGGAAACAGATTTTAATATTAACGTTAATGTTATGGAAATTTCGTTTTAACTTCTTTTAAGCATAAAATAAAAAGAAAATGTGTTTGTTTGTTGTGTAAGATGTAATTTTATTTCATCTCGTGAATTTTAAAAACAGTAGTCTCACTCGTGGCTACGCCACTCGTGAGAATACTATTTTTAAAGCCCACTCGATGAAATAAAATTTCATCTTACACGCAAACAAACAAAATATCCTCTATATCACAATAGTCTTATCAAATTAGATTTATGATTCATTGTAATATCTAATGTTATAAATCAAGAATATATACGTTTCCTAATTCTACAATATTTATAAAACATGATTTTGAATTCAATATTTTTGAGCATTTTCATATATTATCATGTACATAATGCACCAATTTATACTGATGTGACATTTGATTTGATTTTAAAGTAGCAAGTACAAATATTGATGCAATGTGCAGCAATTTAGGAGCTCTGCGCAAAAACATGCGCTCATTCAAATCATTCCTACGCACATGTCTTTGTCTAATTAAATTAAGTACATGTACTATTGTACATTATTCCGGATGTTTTGTAAATCATTTAAATTTGCATAAGTATGCTTATCGTATGCACTGTCTATGAGAGAGGGGCCAGATATTACATTTAAAATATATGCTTTCACTGATGCCTTCAGGTCTTGTAAGGAAAGTTATTCCAATACAAAGAAGACTTACAAGACCTGTTATGTGACATGACCAGAATTGTATATCATTTATGAATGAGCGGACGAAAGACATTGTTCATCATGAACTTTGGTAGAGATTAGAATATTAAATGTACATGTATTTAATAGAACAGCAAAAATTCGAGAAATCAGGATCGATTTTAGCCGCACAAAAAAAAAGATATAAAAAGACTGAACAGCGAACTACTGCTAGACCCGTGTACTGTCGCACAACGTCAAAATAAAAGCGACATATAGTTATGGAAGCAAGAACTAGGTCGATTTAAATATTCACGTTAAAAATGTCATAAAAGCAATCGGGGCCGTAAAAAAGAAAACCGTAAAGAACCTACGGAAAAGACAATTTCTGAATGATAATATGTACTGTGATATAACAATTCGTAAAAAATGGCATACTTAATTTTTTCTATGAATTTATAAAGAGTGCAATTTATTGTTTGAATATGTTTGCATTTCATTTCCTGCAAAATTCCCAAGTTCGTTATTTTATTTCCAAAGCGCGACACGAATGACTTCTTTATATAGATTTTCTAACAAATTCACAATGTTGAGGCCATCTGTTTATTTCGAATTCATGTACAACAATAAAATACACAATAACTCACTGTGAACTATAAAAAATAATTTCATTTCGAAGATACAAATGTAAGAAATAATAGCCGAATTTGAGGGGGGTTGTTGTTTTTTATTTATTTCTTTTCTATTTATTGTTTTTCTTTGTCTTTTATAATAATACGACCTTCCCAGGGGTTGAGGCGTGAAATTTGTTCCTTTCATTAATAAGACATGCCTCGAATCACCGAAGAAGATACCAATATATGACTTTCTTAATAGAAATAGGAAGGAATTCTTGATTCAAAATTTATTTTTAGCTGTAAATCGACGGGATTAATTGATAAAAAAAATCGGATCCATGGACAAAAAAGTTAACACAAATAGCTTCGCGCCTGTCGGCGCGGAGCAATGAACAACAGCAAAGATAAGGACATCTGCTTTCATTGGAGTCAATATCATTTCGCTGTTACTTGATTCTCCTAATAATAAAAGCTAAGGGGTGTATAGAATCTTAATAAAAAAGAAGATTAGATGTTATAATAAAGAGAGGAAAGGGAACGTTTCCAAAATATTGACGTAACAATATTTCTTTTCTGAACCAGGAACGTCTTAAAACTTAAAACAATAAGTTTGAAAAAATTTAATTTAGTTTTGTATTATTCAGGAAATCTAACGAGATCAACAAGAAGCGTGAAGAGCTTGAGATTAAACAGCGCTCAAAGGAAGACAAATATGAGCTACAGAAGGAAGAGCTAGACGTTAAACAACAGGAACTTGAAGCCGAATGGAAAATGATGTCAGCCGAAAACGAAACCAGACAGCAAGAACTTGAAATTCAACGAGACAAGATTGAGCTCAAACGGTTAGAGCTCGAGAAAAAGCACGAAGCGAGAATGAAGGCCCATGAACAAGCTTTAGCCGAGTTAACTGTGGACAAAATGATTGCAGAAAGAACGTAAGCAGCTGTTTAAAAGCTCAAAAAAAAAATTTGTTAAAAATTCTATTTGGAAAATAATTAATATTTAGTGTAACAATCAAGTTATAAATGATAATTGGTATAGTAGCATATTAAGGTGTCCGCAATATTTTTTAAACGCAAGTTTTGGGGGTTTTTTTCTGTTTCATTAGAGTAAAACAGTTGTGAAGTGAACTTCCTATAAACTTGAATATATAGATATATGATATAAATTATGTTACTATTTGCATAAATCAATGTCTTTTGGTTTAAGAATACTTTACACTTCTCTTAAGCAATAAATGTGAAGAGCTAAAAAATGTTTTTTTTTAAAAAACAGTAAAAATACCTCCTTAGCCAGACAAATTTTTCTATACGAGTTTAACGTTTCTCAAGAGCAATACCTTTCAGCAAAATCCACAATCCTTTTCTGTCGCTGTTGTCTTTGTCAAGTTTTACAACTACGGTTGCATTAACTAAATGTTTATAAGTGGTCTAGGTCTATATTTAAAATTCAAATTTGGTTAAATTATTCCATTCAATTCTAGAGTGTTTTATAATATAATACATAGAGAAAGACAAATACATGTATAACATTAACAAATACATTTTATATTAACTTCGACAACCACTAGAAACTCATTTGAAACTTGTTTGGAGAAAGAAACAACCATGTTATAAGATTGATATTTGGGCTTTATTAAGTCATAAGCTTTAAGTACACATGTAATATGAACATGGTAAGTTTTCGGTATATCTGACAGATAAACAAATGCATTCTATATAAAATTATCCATTGTTCAGCCAGTTTTACTAATACTTCTTTAATTCAATTTGACAAAATTTGCATAGGAATATATGAACCTCTAAAACAAACAATAAAGAGTTGCTGAAAATGCCTGATGATATTTACTAGTAAGATGATATTAGGCAGTATCCCTTTTATAACCCGCAAGTACTCATTGTCAAAATAAGATCATTAAAGCCCACCAAGCAATGTTGCAGCCCAGTAATAATTAGCCAGTTCAGGAACGGCAGTTGGAAATGTAACCTGCAGTCAATGTCACATAGCACCGACTTTAATAGAACATGATATATTAAAATTGTTTTTTAAACATTCGCAAATGTGTTCTTACGCTGGTGATCATGGAACTTTCATTCTTTTCCACAAGCCAATTGTACAATTTTTTTTCAATTGTATGTAGATTACACAAAGAGTTTAAGCAGAAAGAAGACGCGCTTGCGGCAAAACAGCTTGAAAAGCATTTAAAGATAAACGAAAAGAAAGAAAAGTTGGAAGAGAAGCAAAAAGAGTATGATCTACTGTTACAACGGAAGAAAGAGAATGATGAGATGAAGATGAAGAATCAAGAGCTGAAGAAAGAGAAGCTAGAACAGGACAAGCAAAGGCTACAGATGGAGAGGCAAATGAAAATTGCGGCATATGAAGAGAAAATGACAAAGCTGGCAGAAGAAAAAGAGAAAGTCGGAACTATGTAAGATAATATACATTTATGTATTTCTGTTTTCATTTTTCAGTAAAGCAATCTTAGTTAATTATGATGCTGGGCGAGAAAGTTAGACAAAACGTACAAAACGTTAATCATATTACGTATGGGGTCACATGGAAACATCCGTTTTCGGTTCGCAGCAGACATAACCAAACGGTACTGATAACTTTGGGGTTTTAGTAATTATGTTAAAAATGTCTATTTACAAAAAAAATCTGTATTGTATAATAAAATAAATATCACATCTGCCTTCGGATGTTAGAACAAAATGTTCATCCGAGTCAAAATGAAATCAGTATTGCACTGGGACTCCATAAAAATATTGTTTAGTGTTTTCTACAAATATTTGTTTTACGCTTTCAGGATGGAAAGAAATCAGGTGGAGAAGTCATCAGTTTGCGTTATTCTGTAGTTTATCTATCCTACAGGGCATAGTGTAAAAAGAAACTGTGATATATTGAAATACATACAATAACTTCGTATTTATTTATATGACATATACTTAACCACAGCTGAATGGATAAAATATTTATTGTTAAAACTATTTAAGCTTTTAGATTATTGTGTTATGCTTAAAAGATATCTTCTATTAAAATATCATTAAAGAAAGCATCCGTCAACCTTGTGCTTATCATGGAGTACTTTGGTTTATCGCCTGAAACCAATTGCATATTTGTCTGTGCCATAAATGTTTTTCAATGTAACTGTATAAGTGAAAATTTGATCCAATTGTTAAAGATTTGAAGTTCCAAATGTTTTTAAAAGACTGAACGGTATAGCTTCGATATACTATTTCATTTTTATCCCGTCTGAAAATAAAAACACGGGTTGCAAGAAAAATGCTTATTATATTTTTATCAGTTGTATATGGGCGTATATTAATAACTGCACAAGCAGTCAAACAATATCATTCTTCTTGTCTAGATGAAGTTAGAGATCGTTCTGTAAACCACGGTCTCTTTTTTCAGAGCAGGCGCGAGGTTAAGGGGGCGTGAGTGATGTTGCACGTTTTTATTATCCGTCATGTATAGACTCAATCAAATCGAGTCTGCAATTCTCTTCTAATTTTGTTGTGATCAATGCTTCCGAGGGATCACTATGCGTCCAGATTTTTTTCTTCATCTGATTACTTTTTTTTATATTAACTGCACTGCAACTACATGTACTAGTTATTATATTCCTACTTAACACCAACGACCTACGTGAGTGTTTATGATAGGCATCAAGATGTCAGTTTTCTTCATTCAAATGAATGTTAAATACTTTTCTATTTCCATGATTAACCAAATAATGTCAACTTTTCGCAAGTTATGACAAATAGCTATTGCGATAGGTCAGTCGCTCGTGTGAATTACATAATTGGCGTTTAACTATTGTACTTATGTATGAAAAGCCCCGAAAAGGTTAATTATCTTTTACAGATAGAACAGAATAGATAAGTACATTCTACATGAACCTATTCTGTACTCTATAGTGATTTTTAATACAGGTTATTACTCCCATTTTCAAAAAAGGCAATATAAATGACGCAAAGAACTATCGTGGAATTACTTAATTAATGTTATAGCAAAAACTTACTCACATAATTATTATGACTTAACCGTTTAATGAAATGAACTGAAAAACACGAAAAGATTACAAAAACCTAATTCGGATTTCAAAAAGGAAAATCGATAATTGTTTGCATATTTATCCTAAATTCTATAATAGCTAAAGTTTTAAATTCTGGTGATAAACTATAGTGTGTGTTCATTGATTATTAACAGTGTTTTGACCAAATTGAAAGAATCTTTTTGTGGCAAAAACTTTTGTCAGATAATGTTAGTTGTAAATTTGTTATGGCCATAAAATCAATGTATAAAACAGTAAAGTCTTGTGTAAGGTATAAGTCAGATACATCTGCATTCTTCAACTCAGGCGTGGGCTTGAAGCAAGGTGACCCCAGCTCACCTCTGCTCTTCATGCTCTTTGTGAACGACATTTTAGATAATATAAATACTGATCTTGAGGGCATTTTTACTATAAATGAATTAAAACTGTTCATTCTTATGTATGCAGATGATCAGGCAATTTTTGCTAAAACGCCTGAAACTTTACAGTCTATGTTAACTGGTGTGGAAAATTATTGTAATTTATGGGGTTTAAAAATCAACATTTCAAAAACAAAAGCGATGATCTTTGAAAATGGGAGGCACACCATGTATAACTTCAAAATTTATAATAATATTATAGAAACAGTTTTCGGTTTTAATACCTAGGTATTACTTTATTCAAAAATGGTAATTGGAACCGTACGCAAAAATGCATCGCTCAACATGCATCAATTGCTATGAATACTAGTAATCTATTTCGTAAATTTACGATGTAGAACTACCAATGGGTCAGAAGTGTAAGAGAAGCTAAGGATATTGAGGCTATTCACACTAAGTTTTAAGACGCATTTTGGGTTTAAAAAGTCAACAAATTTATCTACACTTTATGGAGAATTAGGAAAAATTCCTTTGTTATTCATTCGAAAAATAAATATGATTAAGTACTGGATAAAAATTTTAAAACAGAATGATACTGCTCTGCTTAGAAGAAGCTATTGGATTTTAAAAGTAGATGCAAATCGCAATTTAAAATATAATGGGGAAAATTGGGCTTTTCAGATAAAAAATATTTTACAAGAACATGGTTTATTGTATGTATGAAATGATCAATTTGAAATCGATATTCATTTTTCATTGATTAAACAGAGAATTATTGATAACTTTTACAAAAATGGTACTCTGATATCAATAACTCTAATCGTTTACAGTCATATTGTGTCTTTAAGTTTGAATTCGAATTTGAAGAATATTTGAAAGTAATTACTGATAAGAAATATAGAATTCCATGTCAAGATTTAGAACTTCATCACATAATCTTTTTATAGAATCTTGAAAATATAATGATACTCCAAGAGAACAGAGACTCTGCAAATCGTGCAATATGAAAACCATTGAAAATGAGTACCATTTTTTGCCAGTATGTCCATTTCACCGTGACCTAAGAAGTAATTTTTTTAAAAGATATTATTGTCAATGGCCAAATATCACTAAATTCGAAAGATTAATGTCATCAAAATGTAAATCTGTTCTACTGAACATAGCAAAATATATTTATTTTCTATGAAAAACCGCATCTCATAATACATTCTCTAAATTTAAATATCTTTATTACCAATTCTATTTTTTCCTTAATAACTAGAACTTTTTTATATATATATGTAACAATATATTTAGTATATCTAGACCGTTGTGAGAATTTTTTATGTAATTTGAACTACTCTCTTCGGATATAATTTTATTTCTTTTGCCATGTCTGTCGCTGAACTTTCTTCTTTTTTTTGTATTGACTCTAAACATACAGTATGTTTTATGTTTTATGCTGAATAAAATTTTGTATTGTATTGTATTGTATTGTATTTAGGGAGTAGGTAAGACATTTGTAGGTAACTGTTTTCTTGAGAAGCAAACACCATTTTTGTATAGATTTACGTATAATGATTAACAGCAAATGCGCAAAAATGCAAAGATAAGGTATAAACAATAATCATTTTCAAAATTGTTTATTCTCCGTGTTTCTGGTTAAATCGAGATTAAACACAATTCATCAGCTGCAAAAATAGCACAGTTTTTAAGTGAATTTAAACGGCTCTCATTCTTGCAACAAGTCTCACAGACCTGTTTCCAACTTGGCGGTACCATGCACTGTCCACCATCTCATCAGCAGCCTTGCTCCAGTTATGACTGTTGACAGCTGAAATAAAGTTATGGAAATTACGTAATCCTCCACCAAGATTGAACGCCATGTTTACAATGATTTCCTTCACTTCTCTTGGTAAACTCGAGCAGTGAGGGAAGATGGAATGGAAGGTATTTACAGCAGCTGTGACATCTGACTGGAAGGCGCTGTCGATCCGAGAGGTGCTCACGTGTGTTCCCGCTGGCTTCCCGTACTCGGGGTCGTTGTGAGTGATGAGATGTCCAATTCCGAAAGTAAGATATCCCCTACTGTCCCTGTAAATAACTGTCTTATAACCTTCGTCGATCTTCAACTGGGCCTTAATGGAATTGGCAATGGTTGAAGTTATTCCGCATGCATAGTCTGAAAGGTCAAAAAATGAAACTTGAATCTAATGACCTTTAGTAATAAACAGTAATTAAAATATAATATGTACTTCATGTGTGGTTTTGTGTGATGGTGTTCGCTTCAATATGTGTTAAGAAAAAATTAAAAAAGCAAACTTGAAAAAAAACTATAAAATGCATCAATTGTGTAAAACACTTTAATTAAATAATCAAAAGAAACATTACAAAAATTCTGATACATATGATGAAAAATAAATTGATTTTTTATGTGCTTACTGTTCAAAAATCTCTTTTCTGCAGATGCATATGCTACAGCAAAAAGCACAACGCACGTGCATATAATTCTCATTGTGGACCGTCTGAAAATAAACAAAAGAACAAAACAAGTGCGCAATACTTGTAGTGAAGTCATTGTTGTTTGTCCCAAAGCCGTTTATCACGTGATCTAAGATAAATATCATACGATCGTTAAATGGCGGTGAATGAGAACACAATTGTTCCCATAAAACACAAAGTACATGATGAAATGTAGAAATTTTCGTATCAAATTCTATCATGGTATATGGCATGATAAACAGGAAAAAAAGTATTATATTCTGAAGAGCTCATACGGACACTTAGGTATTGCATCGCTTAATCTGTGCTTTATAATACACTTGAACTATATGTATTAGTCTTTTTACCTGTACATTAATCATATGAACCCCATATGAATCTCAAAAATGAGCATCGGTAAAAATGATGTGTGAATTTCCGCTGCACCAGATGTGAAGCATAACACCAGATGTGACTGGAAAAATTAGGCCGATCGCAGGGTAAGTTTTCATCTTTTTAACCATTTATATAAAATTCAATCCTTTTTTTTTTTTTTTTTTAAGAAAATCGAAATGTGATTCTACCCTTCTGACTCTCCTCTATATTACCCATTGTTGTTTTGGATTTCTACGCAGTCTTCATCGAGATATTCTTTCCGTCGTGGGTTCTGGTGTGTCCAAAACATGCAATATGAATGAAGAAAATAACACTAAACGGACTCAAAAAAAACAGAGATTTTACGAAATGTCACTACAGGTCGATGCTAAACATTCAAACAAATCCTGGCTTAAACATTAATTGAGGTTTGGCTACATACAAGGGAATCGCTGCTCAAAATTACATTTGAGCTCCAGATGTGCTGAAGAGATTCATAAGTGATGTAGAAAACCATCTACAAAACTACGGACCACTTCCATATAATCATTGAATAGCCAATGTATAGAAACAATATAGGTTTTGCAGCTTTGGCTGAAAGTTCAATTGTAACATTAGTGTGTTTGATTACCGCAGTGACAGGGCTCACAAGCTTATACTGGCATTAGAAATACTAAAATGCCCGAGTACATGAAAATGTTGACGCAGAGCGGATAGTACTCTTATTATAAACAATTCACTAAATATATGATATGTAACTTGGACAAACCAAACTGAAAGTATTGAACTTTGTAAAGCTATTGTGTCATATAATATGTTTCTATAATAATGTTTGCATTCATAAAAATATATATCACTTTAATATTCCACAAGTTATAGTTATAGCGACAGACTGTTATGTGTAAATATCATGGCCTGATGCGACATCGAAGGTTTTTCTTTACAGAATAGGGGTCGAGAACATTGTCTGTAAGGAAAACCCGAGATGCCGCTCCAGGTCATGATATTTCTACATAATAGTCGAGTTCAATATATTATAACTTATATTATGTTTATCGCATGATAAACAGAAATGACAATTTTAATAAACATAAAATTTCAATTTATGATTGGCTTCTCTCCATAAATTAAATTCCCCACCCGAAACATCGGTTACTTTTTATGTAACGTGTCAATTACCGATATTGTAAACCTCTCATCACATGAGCCAATCAGAAGTGTGTTGGGTGTTCCAGATTGGTTGGATGACCAAAGACACAGAAAAACATGGCTGTAAATAATTGGGACGCGCGACAGTACTACACTAACCGCCGTTTCATCAGCATTTTAATGGCATGCCAAAAGATGGATTTTTAAATTTATATCAATAAGTCTATTATTAACGATTATTGTTATTTTCTCGGGGACTTGAAATGGATAATATTGCAAGTAATGCTACTCATGAAAAGATTCATAGAGGCAGTGCCTCCTAGCGCAAAGGTTTATAAACAAGTACGTCCATGCACCAGACAAAACTTTATGCAAACCCATTTCCACATTACATAACCCATTAATAAATTTGTTTTTAGCTGTTGTTGTTGTTTTTTTTTGTTTTTTGTTTTTTTTATTTGGGGGGGGGGGATTTCAGAGCAGGCATAAAATTCAGATAGGCATTGACCCATAATTGCGACTATGGGCATGAAGTGTACCATGTAAATATTCTGCAGGGACGTTTCTTGATGTGGAAAATAAATATGCAAATCTTCTTTGATCTTTTTTTAAAAGTTTATCACTAACTTTCTTACAGCATCATAACAAATTCAAACACGTTTCACATTACTTCCCTATTAAGCAGACAGTGCAGTCGATTGAATAATTAATTAATTTATGGTGGCATAAAAAGGGAAAGATTACAGTACACACGACGTCAATAAGTCAAAATAAGCAAGGCCTTACCACCATATCTACGTATTTTCAAAACCTTTCGATTGCAGAGTGTCTTATATCTCTTTCTATATGGATACTTTGTTATTCAAGCTCGTCTCGTGAAAATGTGTCTTTTTCGGATAATAGTATTTATTACAGAATGATACACAATAGAATAAATCTAGATTGCTGTATGAAAGTGATGCGTAATTATGTTGCTAATTTTTTATGTTATGCACATATGAATCTCTTCAGCACATCTGGAGCTCAAATGCAATATTGAACAGCGATTCCCTTGTATGTAGCCAAATCTCAATAAATGTTTAAGCCAGGATTTGTTTGAATGTTTAGCATCGACCTGTAGTGACATTTCGTAAAATCTGTTTTTTTTTTTGAGTCCGTTTAGTGACATTTTCTTCATTCATATTGCATGTTTTGGACACACCAGAACCCACGACGGAAAGAATATCTCGATGAAGACTGCATAGAAATCCAAAACAACAATGGGTAATATAGAGGAGAGTCAGGAGGGTAGAATCACATTTCGATTTTCTTAAAAAAAGGATTGAATTTTATATAAATGGTTAAAAAGATGAAAACTTACCTACGATCGGCCTATTTTTTTTCCAGTCATATCTGGTGTTATGCTTCACATCTGGTGCAGCGGAAATTCACATATCATTTTTACCGATGCTCATTTTTGAGATTCATATGGGGTTCCACCCCCGTGTTAATGTAATTACGTTTTTGCGTAAACTTAACGATATTTTTTCGTCTTCTTTGAAAATGTATACTCAGGAACACGGGTCGGACCCGCAGTTTCCTTCTGTTTTATTTTTCGTACAGTCTTCTACTAGATGCTGAATATTAAAATATCAAATTTTTTTTGTATTATCTATGTCACTTTTAAATCAGCAGTTAGATATAAAAACTGATTTGAACGGATCATCTCAGAATTGTATTAAGATTATGTTAATAAAGGCCAAATCTGGCTGGGAAAACAACATAGATGATAAAGATAATGCAACAAAAAAACGCGATTTCGGTCCCGAGCTTCTGTGAAAATATAAAAAAAAATGTGAAATTTAATAAAATTATTAAAAGTCAAGTAATTAATTGTGCTTACCTTGATATCAAATGGTATTTGACAACTTGGCGGCGTTCTGCCTTCGTTATATAAGCACCTTTGTCTATAAACTGGAGCAGAGGTTCTTCTACGGTTAAAACATTTAGTTATACAGTAGATAGTTTGTTTAGTTGTAGGGAAGAAAAATATGTTTGGATTAATTTAAAAATAAAATTTCCTATATAAGTTGTAAACATAAAACAAAGCGTTAAACATGTAAACAAAATTTAATGGTAAATTACTGCGAAACATGTACATAATTTCTTTCATACCGTCTTGCATGTCATGCGTTATGCGGGGGACACAAACCTACTGGTCAAAATAGAAGCAAAATAAAAACATATAAATTATGTTATGTTATAATCATATCGCTGTTTAAATAGAAATTTCACTTGCATGACTGAAATAAATACTGACACGGACGGATATAATTTCACCGAAAATGTTATGGGACTCGATACATTCCGGACGTATTTCGCCGAGTTCCGTAAAAGTACGAAAACGGCGCCACGTAATCAAATATCAATTAATAGAAACTCTAATAGTAGAAAGGAAATAAATATAGCATCGCTCAATGATTTACTGTGGAAATGAACAGAAGTGAAATTGCGAAACAATCTGCAGAGTAACAAAATATGAAAACTCGTCGGTGTTGTTGACATATAAACGGTAGCCTAAAAACATGTAAACAAAACGGCAAATGTGAGGGTCATTCTTACATTCTTTTTTCATCAGAAGCATATCTACTACAAATCAAAACGACCTAGAATGTTTTTGAAGCGTACTTAAGGGAAAATAAACCCTTAAACTTGCTGAATTTGTATAATGGATTTGCCCTGCGTCGAACAGCCACATTTTTGTTGTTGTTGTTGTTATATTTATTTATTTATTTATTTATTTGGTGGGATGAGTTTTTTCAATACATGTATATAAATACAAAAAATGAGCTACTATCGGTAAGGAACCTGATCAAACAGCACGGATCGATGTGTCAGGCTTGCTCATGCATGACTGGTATATAACAAAATCTAATTACTACGGTTCCAACAAGTTAAGCAGTAACTAGAATATTTCTATATATGTTTTAGCTTTATAACAAAATAATTAATTCGCAGTCATGCTTTGATCAATTATTATACTATATTGAAATCAGTTTCATTATTTATGTTCCATATGGCGGGCCTTCAATGTCTGCGACAGTTCGGCTCAGATAAAATAATCACGAAGCTCAAAGGTCTAAGTACTAAATCAAGTTATCTTGATAGATCTAGCTAGATGATCTATATTCACGTAGCAAAATCTTGTAAACAACGCTGGAGGTTAACAATAATGTAGTTAACTACACATATACCGTTCTAAATCTTAAATGTTCTTATATTTGGAAGTATTTTGAAGGTCAACTCCACAGTTTAAGGTCAATATCAAAATTTTAGAGCGGCTTTTAATAATGATCCAGCCTTCAGCAACACTGTTTTTCGTTTTAGAAAAGTTGTTAAAAAAGTGATCAATTTTCGGCGCCGCCCCCATCAAAAAGGTTCATCATGGGGTTGCCAGAAGGGGATGTGCCCCCTTCCGTTCTGGGGGGTTTGAAGGTGGCGGTGGTCCCCCTCATCGCCAAGAAAATTTTGAACATGTGACAGTCTATAAATGGCCTCAGGTCGATCTTAGGGTAACTAGTAACCGACGCTGAAAAGCCTTTTACTCTATCTCACTGCAGCACTTTGAAATCAGTTTTGATGGAAAAATAAAACAATGCAAAATAATGATTTTTGGCAATTTAGAGACGTCCCCCCGTTACCATGGTAACAGGAAATTTTGCAGTCAGCATTCTGTTACAGAGGCTATGGTCTATTCAACATGTGTGCAAAGTTTCATCAGTGTTGAAGCATTTTTCATAGTTTCATAGCAGTTTGACCTTGTAACAGAAGGCTTTCAATGTTAACAGCCATTTTTCACAATATGCAATATGTAAAGTCGACATCCATTGAATTACCGTAGTGTTAACATTATCTATATAAACGGCTGCTTTAATTTTCGTTTTTCCTAAATTAAAAGAATTGGGCTGTATTTCTTTACTCGTACACTTTTATGGTTGTGTATATTTGGTTGCTTGCACTCTGTCGCGCAGCCATATAACCGTACAATTCTCTATATTAACTAGTAATACACATTTATATTACCGCCGAAGTCAGGCTAATGAACGAACAATAATGTCAACACGAGACTGCTTTACTTAAATGATAACAAAAATACCAGGACATTAGAGTTCAGACACGCGCCATTCAAATTTTATACATTCTTACACGCCAAATGACCAAAATAGAAGGTTAACTTATTAAAACGAAGATAAGACTCTGAGTTTCCGTTGGCAGTTCGTGTAAAACTAGATGTGTGAAACAACTACATTGTATATGAAAACAGACTGCTTTTTCACATGCCACACCGTATGCATGTTTTGTCTGAATATTCCAAATAAATGGAGTTCTCACTCTGCTGCTTTTTGTGTAATACATGTACCTTGGTTTGAATTTGAATCCATTTATTTAATCAATTGAATACAAAAAATTATGACAAGTAAGTAGCAAACTGTATAGGGGGCAGCTCGGACAACAGGTACGGTCTAATCATCATGACTGTAAAAGCTTCAGTGTTTTATAAATGTTCATACAGAAACATTAGAAACATTATTCTCTAAAACATTAAGAGGCGGGTAATCAAGTAGTAGAAGCATAAAGCCTTCTTTTTGGCATTGATGCACTGATTTAACAGGCTGCAGGTGTAAAGACATTTGCTGCTAATACCGGGTTGACCCGAGGTATTGTGTTGCTGGATACTGTATTAGTACAGTCATAGTGATTGAATATATTTTGTGAGAGTCAAAATACCAATTTGTTTACATTTTCATACCTTTATACAACATTTTTTCGCCTCCAGCAGTATGTTCTCCTATCCTTTTCATATGTCCATTCTTTAGGCTAAATGTGCCTTTAAAACTGAAGTGTCCCACTGTTTTTTTCACGTTTTATAAGTATTGTGATAACTGTGACTTTTAATGTGAATTGGTCTAAAATGGAAGGTATGTAATACAATAAATAATTGTCTTGAAAATATCGACTTTCAAAACATGACAACAAACCGGGAAAAAATCTTTATGGATGTTGTTGGTAAGTTTGAGACACTACATATGAGCCGCGTCATGACAAAACCAACATAATGGGTTTGCGACCAGCATGGATCCAGACCAGCCTGCTTACCCGCGCAGTCTGATCAGGATCCATGCTGTTCGCTTACAAATCCTATTACATGTAGAGAAACTGAAAGCGAACAGCATGGATCCTGATCAGACTGCGCGGATGCGCAGGCTGGTCTGGATCCATGCTGGTCGCAAACCCATTATGTTGGTTTTGTCGTGACGCGGCTCATATATTGACTGGATATAAAATATCTATATATAGGAGAAAATAAATTGTTTTGGAAAAAAAATCTTTTATTTATCATATTAAAAAACATAAAACTTTGTAACCTTTTTTTATTTCAAGAAATATTGTATAAGAATATCCAAATGATACATTTCTATTGTCATTTAACAAAATTTTAAATACTTGTGGGAAATGGGCCAATTGAAGACCAATCCACTTTAAAGATAGAGAAAGGTGCCAGGAACACCTCCATACTGTGGGTAAGGATTTCTGAAGAACAATGAACTGTAACAGATGTCACTTGTGGTAATATTAAGACTGCCATGACTAGGATTTTAATCGAAAACAATTAATTCTTCAAACAATTTATTCTTCAAACAAAATTTATCTATCAATGCAAGTATGGAAATAAAAATTTAACTAAGACTGTCAGTGTCCTGGCCAAGATGCCCCTGCACACCATTTTGTCAGTCTGGAATAATGAACTTACATTTTGATGTATCATAAATTCATAATATTCTGGACAAAAATGAAATATGAAAAATTACAAAGGAAAAGTTCTGTAAAAGAAAATGATTGTTCTTAAGCAATACACTTTTTTTAATACAACAATTTATATCTATGAATAGACAAGCTGATATCAGACAAACTAGCCCAGCAATCACGCTGACTCCAGTATATCCTTTATATATTTTACAGGGTGTTGCTTCAATTTGACCCCTGGGTCATATGATTTATATAACTTTCATACAGGACCATTAGGTGATACTTTATGCCAAATATCTTAGCACTGGACAGCGCAGTTTCTGAGCATAAATTTCTTGAATATTACATTTTTGCATTTTACTGTTTAGCTTTTGTGACCTACTAATACCTAACACTAACTGAAACCATCTATATAATCTGTTATCAGAATCTTTCCTATGAAGTTTTGTCAAAAGAAAACTATACCTGAAATAAGTGAAATTCACATATTGAGCTGAAAATATCATGTAAATGAAATCACATTAATCCATTGACATCAAGCACATAAATGACTAGTAGGACGAACTAGACCTTCTTCAGTATTATTTTAACTGGTCGTTTTACTGGTTGTTCAGATGATTGTTTATTGTCAGAAGATAGATATAATGTCATGGATTTAACACTAGAGTTACTTCCCCCTACATCAGGATCAAATAACTCTTTATAATCCCTCCCTTCAACATTCTTCATTATCAAAGTTTTCAAAACTTTCCCTTTATGTAGAGCATTCACTTTGTTAACATTTTTCAGTTCCGCACCTTTGCTTGCCTGATCTTTGCTGACATTATTTTGCCCTAAATTCACTTCATTTTGCTTGGTGATCATTTGATTCTGATCAAAAGTAAGATGTATAACATTTTCCTCAGTCTTCTTTGTATCAGGAGTTTTATCCAACTCATCTTGACCAATCACTTTACTCAAACGAATAACCTTTGGTTTGGACACCTTTTTAGTTATACCTGCATCTTTACCACTACTCTTATTACATGTATCTACATTCATCACAGCTATAGTTTGATTAGTGTCATTTACACTATCTTCAATGCTTCTTTTAATGTTTACAGTGCTATTAGTGTCTTCAGTTTTATTGACATCAACCACCATGGGAGAATTGGCAGTTTTAGTGACATCTTCAACTGTAAAAGAAAATAAAGTAAGGTTAAAAGTGTATATAAACATATTTTGCAAATCAATCTACTTAACAACACTCCACCAAGATTTTTGAACATGAGGGAATAAAAAATCTTTTTTCTAGCTTTGGGTATCATTTGATGTAGGTCAGGAAAATTACTTGTGTGCAAAATTTCAGGTAATTCGCTGAAAACCGACATTTAAATTATGGAAAATTACTTATATAAAAAGTATTTAACTGCTTTAAACTCAAAATGGCCTAAGAAGCCCAAATTCAATTCCAAGCATATGTCTCTATATTCTCGTGCATATATTACTGTTTTAATTTGTCCCAGTTGTATTTACACTTTTGGACCTAGGTGGAGTTCCTTTAAGTTTATACATATTAGAAAATAAACATGACCTGCATTATTCCCTGCATAGAAGCTCCAAAAGTGTGTGAAAATATGCAATAATATAACTGTTAACTTGCTATATTTAGACATGTGTCATATTCATCAACAAGAGCTGTCGGTAGGTCAGCAACACTCGACTATTCTAAGTGCTTGAAAGTAAAAAAGCCTTGATAATGTAAAATTTTCAAAGTAAACAAAAGGGGAAAATTTGTCTTTAAATCCATGTTAAGAGTCCTATTATGCTCTCAAAAAAGAGCATAAAATTTCAACTTGTTTTAAAGCAAGATGTCAATAGAATATGAAAATATCTGAGGTGGTATGCAAACTTAAATGTAAATTCTAATGCTTCATAGAGGTACCTCCTCCTGTCTACAGGTTGGGGTCATGATGGTGAACAAGTGTGTATTAATTCCTCACATGCCAACTCCAAAAGTGATTTTATCTAGCGATAAAATCACGGTTGGAGCTTAATTATTTCTTAATTATCATACTTGTATGTCTATGCTATACACTGTTTTGTCATATATTGTGGTTTTATTTGTCCTTAAAGACCATTTAACCCAACAGAATATTGAAAATTTATCTCAAATCTTAAAGTTGTGATTTTCAGTAATGTTTAAAGCCCATAATCTCCAAATTGAGAACCAATAACCTCAGTGCAGTCCCTTTAACATTTAATATGCTGCTTATCATCAAGTCACATAAATCAAATCAGTTGTATATTTTTGTTTGTTTGGTTTTACTGGGCACCAGCACAGTTTAGGTCATACAGCATCGAAACAGGAAAGATGATTTTGGCTAACTTTGGGTGTTTCAATCTTCAAAGCAACACCAGGGGTCAAAACCACACCACCTGCTGTAGCTAAAAGAAGCATTGACTCCACAATCAGTATCATATTTACCATTAAGTTGTATATTGTGAACATCTGCTAAATGTTGCTTAATACTGTCTCTTGTCACAAAGGTTATATTACAGCTATTACACCGGTAAGATCTGATCTCTGCAAAAATATCAATTCTTTAAATATACATTTTTTACTGATCACTAAAAATGAAAGTTTTGATTTTTACTTGAGGAAAAGAGCATATAGAAGTGATTCATTAGGAAAACAGTTAATTGACTAGAAAAATAGTGAATTAATTAGAAATTAGTGTAGGAAAAAAGTAAGTTAATTAAAAAAATAGCGATTAAATTAGAAAATTAGTGATTAAATAAAAAAATTGTGATTGAAGTAGAAAAATGGTAATTATAAAAGTATAAAGTACTGATTATTACAAACCTATATATAACTTAAAAATTAAAATCATTAAAGGGCCCAAACTCTGACAAAAATCAATGAATCAAAAAATGTTGATGAGATGCACAACTAGACATGGTATTGATCACTCCCCTAAAGTTTTGATGAAATTGCACCAGCAGTTTTTGAGTAGTTCAGACAAGCAAAAAAACATCTTTTTTATTCAAGGGCTAAAATTCAGCCAAAAATCAATCCTGTAAAGTTTTATTGAAATTGCATTTGTGATATCAAAGCATTAGTCAGGACAAACTTTAAAAATATAAATCAGTAAAAGGCCATAACTCTGATAGAAATCATTGAACTGGAAAATGCTGACAATACACACAACTAGATTTGATACTGACCATTCCTGTAAAGTTTGGATGAAATTGCACCAGAAGTTTATGAGGAGTAGAAAAATGAAGTGTATTGGGACATTACATTTGTTCATGTTTCAATATGGACAAAACCATTCATTATTTTTAGGGAAAATATCAAAATTGCTATCAGTGAAGACCATGATCAGAATCCCTGTGTCCAGTCTGGTTTTGGTTTGCACTTATTGCATGAGTGGATTTAGTCTCCGCCCGAGGACTTCAAGTTAATTAAATAACCACCAAATTGCATTTATCAGAATCTTATACCATACCTCCAGCATTTGTTAGTGAACTATCAAAATCCTCAGTTCTACATGCAATGTATGTTTCTGTGTTCATATATGAATGATCTTCCAGGTGTTGTTGTATATCACCAGCATGTTGAACAATGTCACTCTGATTAGCAGTTGGCAATTGGTCATCTGCATTTGCAGGTCCAACTTCTTCTTGCTCCTTTGGGCATTCTAAATAAATTATGAATTATTATATTGCAGTGAAATGTTAAAATCTTTTTCACTATATTTCCATATGTGAAGTTCTTACACGAAGAGTTATGGTATCTTACAAGACTTATTTATGAGGAAGGTAAATTTATGTGTCCCTTCAAACAGTTTTGAATTTTCCAAAAGGATGTACTAGTAGATAAATCCTTTTTTTTTTTAAAGAAAACATAAGGTCATATGGTGACTATCCAGCTTTACTGGTAGAGAAAGACAGCATTATTTCAGACACAAGCAGGCACCTAAGTACAACCACTGACCTTTTCTAAGTTAGCTTGCTCACAACACAAAAAAGAACATAAAAACCTAGGGCAGCTTTAAACCTTCCATATGGAAATTGCCACGTAATTTGAAGCCATTAACCTACACCACTGTACCTTATATGCCGCAAAAATCATTGACAGTTGTAAAGTTATCTATCAATAAAATAAGGAGGATTTGTAACACTGCATAAAAAAAAATTGCTGTCAACCAAACTTTAATTGATAAAATAATATGAAGCAAACACTTGTACACATGAAAATCACAAATGCACTTCCTCTTACTAATCTCTATCATTGTGTGAAGTTCTAATCAAATTCCTTCAATATTTTTAAAGTTATTCTTTAAACAAGCATTATAAATATTATATAGAAATATTACAATTCAAAAAGTAATTAATGTAGTGAAGCTTAAAACAAATTCCATGAACACTTTTCAAGTTAGTCTCCAGACAAGAGTGTGAAGGATGGATGCTTGGATGGATGGACAGGTGAATGAATGGGCATTCTAACAAGGCAGTACTTATTTGGCTACTCTATTGCTCTCTTAGCCACATGAAGGAAATAGCCACATAAAAGCCTTTTTAAATGAATGTCATTGAAGAAAAATTACAGTTACTTATTGTTCCTGTACCCACAGAGGTATCTAAATGTAAGATCGGATGGATGGACAGACAGAATGATGGAAAGGGAGGTGACTAGATATTATATATGGTACAAACTAGTCCTCGTATGAACAGCAGCACAAACACAGGCAAATCTATATGTCCAGTTCTCATGGAGGTGGAGACATAAAAGAAATCGTTATTTACTAAAATTTGGGGTTTTATACTTACAGACAATATTATTCATTGTGTTCTAACACATACCAGTTAGATATGAATATTCTATTCTGTAATGTTTGTTTTTGTTTGATTGGGTTTTACGTCACATTGACACAGTAGAGGTCATATGGCGACGTTCCAGCTTTTACTGGTTGAGAAAGACCTCAGGTGCCCTTCTGTGCATTATTTTAGGCACAAACAAGCATTTAAGTAGAACCACCCACGTTCTAAAAGCTAGCTGGAAAGCTTCCTCACATGAAAGAATCTAAAGTCCCTGTTGGGATTCGAAACCACAGCAGTGAGGGGCAAGTGGTTTGAAGTCAACGACCTTAACCACTCGGCCACGGACGCCCCCTGTCATGTACTTGTGCATCAAAAAATCGTCAAGACAAGATATCTTAAGAAAACTTTATTCACAAATCAATTTGCTAATTACTGTAAACTTATTCCTGCATAAAAACTTAATACCACACTTCTTTGCCATCTTCATGTAAAAATGAATATCAATGGGTCACAAATATTCTTTTAGTTTCATTATTTTTATATTTTCATCTTCATGTAAAAATGAATATCAATGGGTCACAAATATTCTTTTAGTTTCATTATTTTTATATTTTCATCTTCATGTAAAAATGAATATCAATGGGTCACAAATATTCTTTTAGTTTCATTATTTTTATATTTTCATCTTCATGTAAAAATGAATATCAATGAGTCACAAATATTCTTTTAGTTTCATTATTTTTATATTTTCATCTTCATGTAAAAATGAATATCAATGGGTCACAAATATTCTTTTGGTTTCATTATTTTTATATTTTTATATTTGAAAATACTTATTTTACCTGGAAGTTTATATACTTTTGGATGTTGACTGCGCCAGTGATAAGAGAAACCACTCAGTGATGTAAACGTCTTACTGCACTTCTCACACTGATAGACCTTGCCACCTGAAAGCAACAGGTTTGTATACCAACATTCATTTGTAATAAGTATGCAATGTTGACATGGCTATCTCCAATCAAATATGCAAGAAATATGATATGGAAAGCAAAGTAATTCATTTTTAAAAGTGTTTTGTTGTTGTTTCTTTTGTAATGAAGACTGATAGTTGTGCATTGAACAAAAATTACAAACTATGTGTGACAGAATGAAGAATGAGCCTCTAAGTATTCTAAGGTACATCACCTTATCATTGTTTCCTCAGAATACTGTATGTTTAGGGAATACTGACCACTGTACAGTGACCTTCTTTTGGCTCAAATTCTTATCTTTGGCAAATATTCTGTTGAAATTGCATGGAGATAAATTATCACCAATATCTGTCTCAAAATTAATCTTTTAGTAATAGCTACATTTTGTCACGGGGTCCTCACTTGATAGTAATAGCTACATTTTGTGCCTGAATAGTTGATTGACCAATATTTAACTCAGACTAACTGGACTGAACTTGACAGATACATAACACAAGCATAAAAGAATTTTTATCTTTACCTATAATGATATTAATCCAAAAATATTGAAAATAATATCAAGCAAAAAAGGTCATATAACCTTTTGAGATGAAATAATAGTGGTATGTTTTTAGGAAATGATGCAATGTCATTTTGTCACTTATTTGAGAAGTGTAACAAAGGATTACAATTACAGGATTCAACTGAAATAAAGCATGCAAATTAATGCTCAAACTGACACACTCCAGAATCAAAAATATTTCGGTTTTAACCAGATAATCCAAGGTCACAAACAAACTTTTACAGTTACAGCTTCGAAAATAAGCACAACAGGTTGATTAATCTATTGTAAAAGGTAGTTCTTCCTGAAGCTACATTTATAACGGTAAAAGTTTTGTGTGTACCTCAGGATAAATACCAACATTTGCTGAATTCCAGATAACAACAATTCATTGACTCCAATCAGACCAGGAATTAACATATTAAATATTAACTTACATTTATATTGAAATGGTAATAATGAGGTATACATGACGTAAATTAAAGACATTACAAGAGCATTTCCTACAAACACTAGATACATGTACTTAAAATTTCAAACATTTCAGTTACATATAGTTGTACATATATATAATAAATACAAATTCAATTGAGTAATACAAATGTTGGATTAGAGAGGAAATTTAGCTGTATACTTCTATACTAATTTATGGCACATAACAGTCCCAAATTCTGAGCAGAACAATTCCATTTCAAAAATTATTATTAAGACTAACATAACTTCAAGAATAAATCTCATGAGGACTTGATGGTCAGTGAACAAAGCATTATGGTTAGTTTTTTGTAACATCATCATCATCATCATCTCAAGTAATTGCATCACTCCGCAATGAGTATACTAGCAATAACAAGATAAATCTATATTAAGTGATCTTAGTCTAACCAAATTTTAATAACCCTTCTTATAGGGCCCTTTGTAAATTCAATATATTTACCACTGTGTGTTTTACGATGGTTTTCCAATTTTGTCTCATCAGAAAATCTGCGTTTACATCCTTCCCAACCACAAATGAGTGTTTTACTTCCTGGCTTGTGATTTCTTATATTGTGCATTCTCAGTGAGTCCGGATTAGTGAATGATCTGCTACATAGTTCACAGAAATGAAGAGTACCCGCTGGTTTGGTAGTTGGTAAAAGATAAAAATTTGTTTTATAGAAAGTTCACAAGACATTGTTTAGCAAAATAAGTCAGAAATTGTTTTAATATGTCAACATTTTTCTAAGCGCTGTACATTTTGCTAAGCACTTTAAAAAACATTTATATGCTTAAGAAAGAAATACAAACAGAATGCTGTTCACATAGCTTGTATTAACTACATATTTCAAAAGATTGACAGTTAAAATGGTGATTACTGGAAAATATTAAGGATAAAATATAAAACTGTGTAACATATAAAAAGACTGCCCAACCCTTTTCATAAATTGAATGTTACAAGTAAATTCTGATGGATATTTATAGAAATTTTATAGGGTCACATGAGTTAATGCGAAGTCAATTATGATTCTGCAAAATGTACACTTGTTTTGAGTTTCTTCTGTTCCCTCACTATATACCTTTAGATGGGTATAATGTCACTTTAAGTGTAATGAAAGACAGAAACTAACCTTGAGGTCCATGTTTATTTCGTTTATGTCTCCTCAATCCATCAATAGTGGAATATTTGAGAGGGCATTCATTACAGAGATACGGTAATGGATCCTCGGTGTTCTCCTTTTTATGTATTTTCATATGTTCACTCAGTCCACCTCGGGTTTTCTCTACTTCATTACATATAACACAAGTGTAACTTTCTGGTCTGTTTGGAGTTTTATTTCTCTTTGCAGCCTTTTCAGCTACTTTTTCTTTGGAAATTTTTTCTTGCTCTAAACAAAGTAGATAATATATGATGCATGAATGACAATTAAAACAAAAACTTTGAAAATTTAGAAACAGGCATAATGCAGTTATAAACTAATGGCTAAAACATTTTCAATGCAAGACATTGAATAGAATTTTATAAAATAAAATAATACAAAGATTTATTTATTATGATTACTAGCCTATACTGCTGGTATATGGCAGTGTCTAATAAAGATGGTGGGATTGCATGAATCTACAATTATTATAGTAATTCACATATCTTTACTGAATAAAAGTGAAACAATCCAGGGTCCGAGTTTATAAAGAAATTTAATCTGTTCAAAACTTAGATCTCCAGTATTTAATTGGTCAGAAATTGGCACAGAATGTACACTAACCAATGAAAATCCTGAGATTCAAGACTGAGCCCAGGAAAATCTGTTACTATAGTAACTCTTTAAACTTTGCAAAGGAAAATGGTAAATACATTTGTACACTAGAAGTACCAAGTCATCGAACATTTGACTGTATCAATCATTCAATCAGTTTACTTTTTGATCAATGTTAATGCTTTGTTAAAATCATTGAACCAGACAAACTATTGTGCCAATACACATACAATACACATACTAGATATGAATTTGTACATTTGTTGGGGTTTTTTTGAGAAGATAATATTTATACATTTTACTAGTATATGGCTGCTAACATTTTTATCTCAAATTATATTCTTGAATGTGTACTTATTTATATAACAGCACTCCTTCAAAGTCTTACTTATAAAGAATTTCATTTCAAAAGTGTGCAATTAATCATTTGCTCTTTAAAAATTCAAGTAATAGAGAAAATACTGGAGTTCTATAATTTTACTGTACATTTATTTTTTCAAAATTTCAGCTGCCATAACCTGAGTAATAATTGTATTGTCAATGTTTATTGTAAAGTTTATACAATATATGACTAAAGCACGATAAAGGCTTTATCCTGAACTTGCTTAATTTGTCTAATGTATTTGTTCTCCTTTAAATCTGGAACAGTCCATTCAAAGTTTCAGGTATTTCAATATCGAAATACAAAAACTCAGCTATCAGCAGTATAGAGCCTTGTTAGACTGCACAGACCTGCTGGCCAGAATGTACATGTACTTGTTGCAAAGGCTTATCACTTTGATCTGTCTGCTAGTATAACCTATACTAACATCATCCAGAGAGCACAAATCATGCCACAATTTATAACAGTAATGGAAAGAACACCCCCTTACATTGGCTTTGGCAGTATTCAAGCAGATTATACAAATTTATTTTAGTTTGATTGTTTTGGCAGCTTTTAGATTATTGAAAAACTATCAAAATCTGTTCTTGGAACCAACCATTACTAAACAATGAGTGTAACGTTTCTTGCTCAGAGAAAGGCTTACCCTTGATGGGTTTGAACATACATGGCCAGCAATCCTTAGATATTTATCTGATCTGTTAACCACTCGGTCACACTGCCATTTTCATTTGGTTAACATTAAAGGATCAGATTTGATTGTTATGTAATATAATTAATTTTGTCCTGCTAGTAATTACCCCATTCATTTGTTTCATCTTGAATCAGACACTGTTAGCCAGGTCATTCCTGCAATTTTTTAAATCCTGATCCAACTCTATATTGCACGCTTCTTGAATTTAGTTTAAGCAATACCATATTTCTATCAAATAACAAAAAAGAAGCATTGAGATGATCAAACATACCCGGGTTTGCCCACAGATCATGACCGTGTTTTAAATGATGCATCAAACTATCCCTGTGACTGTAACGTTTCGGACATTTATCACACTGGAACATTTCCTTCTCTGAAATTTGACAAAAGTAGCATGTATATCAATCTGATTCTTTCATACCTCAATAGCATAGAGATTGTAAATAACATACATGATACTTCTGATACTTGAAATGGATTAAAATTATGATTTAATATAATACGTATGTGCCAAGTATGTTCATTTCTTGTAAAATTCATTCCTGATCACACTCATAAACAATATTTCTTTCTGTCAGGCTGTATTCAAACATGTTATATATGTAGTAAATAAGGTAAAACATGTATATTTATAACATAAATCATCCAACAGGAGCCTAATAAAGCTATTAAATTCAAACAAAAATTAACTAGCGTAATTACTATGCAAGTGACATCATTTGCATTTTATAAACAGCCTAAAAGCACCCTAAATGTTAGTGCTTCACTAAAGGCATGTCAAATGAAAATATGATTTTTTTTTTTACTGTAAACAGTTCCTATTTTATCTGTGATAAAATAGAATACTATGTACAATATTTGTGTAGGCTCATTATTTATTAAACTCGCCATCATTCTGGAGGTTCGCATAATATAATTTTTTTCCAACTTTTTCAATAAATTCAGTATCAGGCCTACAGTCATTCAAAATTCTCTATGTATATAATCAAAAAAACTTGTAAGCCTATATGATAAAAAAACTTGTAAGCCTATATATAAATGTATACAAAGATAGTGAAAACGACCATCTTTGAAAAAGATATTGAAAACGACCAACCAAAACGCAAGATGACAGAACAAAATTATATATATATATATAATGAATATATATTTATGCAAGAAAGACCTATATACTATATACTATATGGACTAATTTTGCCAATACTTACTGCCAGCATGTATTCTTTCTTTATGATACTTCAGATTTTTGGGAAATTTGTATTTTGCTGGACACAGATCACATTGGAAAGTACGAACATCATCATGTGACAACATATGTATCCTCAACTTGGTCCCAGTTTGCATACCTTTACCACACTTGCTGCATATAAATCTTGACCTTGCTCTATGTACAATCTGATGTTTGCTTAAAGCATCTGAAAGAAATAGGCAAGAAATGAGCAAACTCAAAAAGTGCTTTTTCGACATACCACTTATACATAATTTTTAGAATGTAAAAAATGCATTTGACTACATGTGTTTGCTAATATTACATGTCATCCTCCATGAATTCACCATTCCTTTGTTAATAACAAGAGGGCCATGATGGCCCTGAGGTCGCTCACCTGTATATAGCCCCCCCCCCCCCCCCGGGCCAATTTTTACCCAAGGGCTTTTATTTGAACAGACTTGGTAGACACCCATAAGAAGATGTTTCATGCATAACATCTAAGTTCTAGCTCATTGGGTTTTTTAAAAGAAGATTTTTTAAGTTTTTACTATACACATATAGTCAAAAACAATGACACCCCTGGGGCAGGGCCAGTTTTGACCCCAGGGCTTTTATTTGAACAAACTTTGTAGATATTTACTTAAAAATGTTTCATGTATAATATCTAAACTCAAGCTATTTGGGTTTTTTCAAAGAAGATTTTTAAGTTTTTGCTATACACATATAAGGAAAATCAATGACCCCCGGGGCGGGCCAGTTTGACCCCAGGGCTTTTATTTGAACATACTTGGTAGACACCCATTAGAACATGTTTCATGCTAAATATCTTAGCTCTAGCTCTTTGAGTTCTTTAAAAGAAGATTTTTTAAGTTTTTACTATATGCATATAGGGAAAATCAATGACCCCCTGGGGCGGGGCCAATTTTGACCCCGGGGCTTTTATTTGAACAAACTTGGTAGACACTCATTAGAAGATGTTTCATGCTAAATATCTTAGCTCTAGCTCTTTGGGTTCTTTAAAAGAAGATTTTTTAAGTTTTTACTATATGCATATAGGGAAAATCAATGACCCCCTGGGGCAGGGCCAATTTTGACCTCAGGGCTTTTATTTGAACAAACTTGGTAGACACTCATTAGAAGATGTTTCATGCTAAATATCTTAGCTCTAGCTCTTTGGGTTCTTTAAAAGAAGATTTTTAAGTTTTTACTATATGCATATAGGGAAAATCAATGACCCCCTGGGGCGGGGCCAATTTTGACCCCAGGGCTTTTATTTGAACAAACTTGGTAGACACTCACTAGAAGATGTTTCATGCCAAATATCTAAGCTCTAGCTTTTAAAGTTCTTTAAAAAAAGATTTTTTAAGTTTTTACTATATGCATATAGGGAAAATCAATGACCCCCCGGGCCGGGGCCAATTTTGACCCCAGGGCTTTTATTTGAACAAACTTGGTAGACACTCACTAGAAGATGTTTCATGCCAAATATCTTAGCTCTGGCTCTTTGGGTTCTTTAAAAGAAGATTTTTTAAGTTTTTACTATATGCATATAGGGAACATCAATGACCCCCTGGGGCCGGGCCAATTTTGACCCTAGGGCTTTTATTTGAACAAACTTGGTAGACACTCATTAGAAGATGTTTCATGCCAAATATCTAAGCTCTAGCTCTTACGGTTCTTTAAAAGAAGATATTTAAAGATTTTTCTTTCGTTGCCATGGCAACCAGAGTTCTGCATGAAATGGAATTCTTTGAACAATCTTGATAGAGCTTCATACAAAGAGTATTCCCGCCAAGTTTCATTAACATTGGCCTTGCAGTATCATAGAAGATGTCCTTAGAATATTTAAAATGTGGACGGACGACAGACGACGGACGCCATTTGGTTGGCCATCCTAAAAGCTCACCTGCACTTTGTGCAAGGTGAGCTAAAAAAACAACATGAACAATATGCTATAGGTTCTTTTCATTCATAACAGAATTATTTCTTGAACAATTTCAAATATTGAAGCAGAAAACAACAAATTTACTAGTATGTCTGAACATAAAATGGAGAATATCACTTAATATACTACATTAGATATACATGAAAACTTCATCATAACTAGTAACAGGGAGCTTTGGCCAAGTGGTTTAAGAGCCTGCCTCACATTATAAAGAATGATGAGTTGGTCTAGTCACTTTGTTTCTTTATATGGCATCAGTTCTAGTTCAAATTTCCTCATAATTATGCCGCAATTACTAGTTCATATTTTCTCATATATCCCCAGTACTGATTCTTGTTTCCTAATATATGACCATTACTTATTCATATTTCCTGACCATTACTTATTCATATTTCCTTATGTAACCCCATAATTTGTTCATATTTTCTCATTAGGCACCAGTCCTGGATCATATTTCCTAATATAAAATGTGTACTGGTTTATGTTTTGTCATATAACACCATTCCTGGTTTATATTTTCCCATATGGCACCAGTTTAGGTTCATCTTATCATGTATGATACCAGTACTTGTACACAACATTCTGTGTCCTTGACATTGAGCAATACATTGTAGGTTAATGAACAATGTACTTTTGATTTAGCTCATTCAAAATTGAGCTTTCAGAATTTAAGAAAGTGCCTGATATAACTTGTTTCACAATCATGCTAAACTAACTTCATCATAGTACATGTATTGACAAAAAGAAATTAAAAGAGTTGGTCAGTTATACTTCTACAAGAATAACATGATAAAATCTAATAAAGTTAGTGACTTACACTTATGTTTAAAGACTTTTCCACAGGTGTCACATGTAACTGGTTCATGTTCCATATGTGTTTCCCTCACATGATGCTGACAACAGATAAACAAAAATATTCTTAATCATTTAAAGAAAAAAAGGGATGCAAGGAAACATTGTGAATACAGTTAACCTGAAAATCAGTACAGTCATATTGCAGGTGTGTTGGACCACCCAACATTTGTGAATTGAACTTTCTTTCTTTTTCAACAACCAACTTTACCGCCAGACATGGAAGTCCCACAAAATTTTACCAGAACTAATAACAAAAATATTATCAGTTTCATGTAAAGCAATCATGAGCGGATCATCTTACATTTAATCTCTCAAGAATATGAGACTGACACAAAGACTGGGTTATGATCAAATTCTAGATATATATATACATTTGTTAGTGTAATTTTAAAACAGTTTACTTCACATCATTTACACTGTATAATCACTTTGCAGGATGTCTGTTGTACTTGATATGGAAGTTAAATCCAAAAATCTTTTTTTCTTATTAATAAATTTGACTTGTCAAACTTTTCTGACGCAAGTCATACAATATTTTGATAAAACATTTAAGCTCTTTTGTGTTTTTTTTAAATGTTTAAGTTCAACTATTTTTAAGCTTTTTTTAACATGTTTGAAAAGGTTATTTAAAACACTCTAAAATGTTGTTTTAAAGCAATAAAAATTAAAGTGATTGTGCAGTTACAAAGTTGCCGTTCTTGAAAATAGTTGAAATAAAGGCTCATATAATTTTATCAAATAAAAAGGAAAATATCACAGTATAAGGATTCTGTTCCATAGTATGTACATGTATCAATGAACACTGCATTGCAATACAGGCTTCTTAAATCTTCCAAATTTTCTAAAGGTTATAGTTCTAATTTTGTAATTTAAAAAGCATGCCACTTTTGCAATAAAAAGTTGTATCAAGAAGCAAGTTATTAAGTACTTACAGATAGCATGTATTTTTTCAGAACCCGGCTACAGTAAGGACAAGATACTAGTGTCTGATCTTTATCTTTCTTCGGCTCCCCACTTTTAGCACGTGGTCTTCTGTGCCTATCTTTGAGTGGACAAATATGCAGGTGGACCTTTAACTTCAACATCACACAGCCACACAGCTCACATGTACACAGTTTGTCAGGTGTATACTTATGATTACCTTCAACAGTATCATGCTCTTTCTCATGATCTATTTTCTTATGCTCATACCTAAACGACATTCTACAAAACTTACAACTAAACCATTCGCCACGTTTACTCCTTTTTGGGGTTTTAGCACCGGAAGTCTTTTTTCTTTTTATAGAGGGCTTTGTTAGAATGGTCTCTGGTATAAGAGAAACCACACTTGTATCACCATCATCATTATCATTATCATCATAACTTTGAGCAACACCACCATACCCCTGCCCCATATTACTGTTGATAGCAGCTCTCTGCTGGTTCTCCACTTGTTGAAGTATTTCATCCATTGAGTGTATTTCTAGTCCGTTTTCTGATGTTTGCTTTGGTCCACATTTTCCCCCTCTGCTTGGAGATTTTGTATTCGCCCCATTTCTGTTTGGTACATGATTTTTTGACATTTTAGGACTTGATGACCATTTACCTGATAAACTTTTCTTGCTGGCAAAATATGAACTGTTTTCATCGTCAAATGAGTGTGATAGGACTGATGTACAAAGGCTTGTTAGAGGATACGCAGTTTTAGTTTGAAGATCCATGATATATTTATCTGTATTTGAATCATCTTCCAGATGTTTTAGAAGAAAGCATACAGTTGGGAAGGCGTGATTGCAAGTTTTACAACAGTATGAGCCTATATTTAGACTCAATTCAGTGTCATTATAAACTGTGTCATCCTGTTCACATCGGTGAAAAACACTACTAGGTATGTTTTCACTGTGAGTCTCAAAATGATGATGAAATACATCAATGCTACTGGAACCATACCCACAAAAACCACATATGAACGGGTAGACATATTCTATTTCCTCTTGATGGCTATCCAACAAAAAAGCCATTTTGACATTTAAAATGTAGGTCTTCGGAAGATTTGCTTAATCTGATTATCAGTGATGTATAGTATTCTTCTATTTCCACCTGTAAAAAAAAGCAGTTCATCTTTTTACAATTTCAACAACTCATACTAATACAGTAAGGGCAATAACAAAAAATACAATTAGACTAAATTTAAGTGTCATCAGAGATGGTGATTGATTACAGCCATATGCAATAAATAATTTATAAATTAATGGCTACAGTGTAACTGATTAATAATCAATTACACCTATACAGCTGTGTAATCAACAGTGCTGTGTAATCAATACTTTATAAATGATGTAATTCAATTTCAAAATTCCAATTATTCTTTTAGGTTTCAAAAAAGTGTAGATATTCCAAAGGTCAAAACAGTAACATACGGTAAGAATTCTTTTAGGTTTGAAGGAGCCCAGATATGGAACAGTGTCCCTATGTATGACATAGATCTGCAAGGTTGAAAACTATTTAGAGTTTGGGAGACTGATCCAGGGCTGGAGTGGCCTAAGTTGTAAATGTGCTATGTGTCTGTAAATTTGCTATGTGTTTGTTAATTTGCTTAGTTTTAATTTATGTAAAATGCTTAGACTGCATTTTGTTTTTTGTGCATCCCTAAATTTAGTTTGCTTTGATTAAATGCTGTATGTTAAATTCCTTCAAACCCCCTATTTTTATGCTAGTTGTATCCTTGCTGTCTGGTTTGTATGTTTGTTCTAATTAAAACTCCCTATTGTCCCTTTCATTAGGCTGTACATGCAACTTAATTTTAGTTACTTTGTTTGTTATCCTGTATGTGTTTTTAAAAATATCTTTTTCTTTTTTTTCGCACAGTTTTAGTTCTATCATAAAATTGTTATGTACTTTATAAGTAAGTCAATTTATTTATTTATTTCAGCAAATCTTTAATTATGTATAAACACTAGATGTTAACTATTACTATTTTGGAAGTGGCTAACCGTACGGGCCCGTACAGCTAGCCAAAAGTTCTAGCTGTATGTGAGTCACGTACGACTAGCAAGGACACACTGTATTGGCTAGCCGTATGGCACATTTCAAAATTATATGGAAGTCGAAAATGCATATGTTATTTTATGACTTTAAGGGAGGATTTTAACCAAGAAATAGCAATTCTCTTTGTTTACTTTTAAGAGATTATAGTCCCTTGGTGCCTACAGTAAAGAAAGTACAAATATGTATCTTAGTTCATCTCAAGACTTCGAGAAAAAAATAGCGTTTTATTGCAGTTAAATAACATCAATTGAAATAGTTTACAAAATTTTCATAATAATCCTTTTTTGTTTCATTAAGTTTAATTGGGAAAAAAAACGAAAATAATTGCTCTGATAATTGCGTCAATTACCGATGGTATAGAAGTTTGTCCATTGTTAAGGAAAGTTTGCATGTTCCGTGAAAGGCATTCTAAAATTCTATTGTCAGTCCCTGGGTAGACTTTAATTAAGGCTAATTAATTGATTGTGCATTTATGTTCGATATTTATCTACAGTATTTGAAAATTATTTTCACCATTTTTTATTTTATTTTTTTTTAATATTCTTTTTTATTTATTTATTTATTCCCCTCCGTTCATTTTTTATTCGATCCATGTGCTTAATTACGCACACGGATCGAATAAATAATGATCTGAGGGGCATAAATAAATAAGAATATTAAAAAAAAAAAAATGGTGAAAAGCAAAAATAATTTAATAATTTAAAAAATGATTTAATAATTCATCTTTCATACAAATAAAACAACAAATCATAAGCATGAAAAAAAAAGGACGTTATAACTTATAACATGCAACTTTGACATTTTTATGAAGATAAATTATACAACGCTTATTCGTATTCATTTTTTTACAAAATGGCGGAGCATCTTTATTAAAGTGAACACACTAGGACAAATGTGGATACTTGATTAAAATCCTCAACACCATAAAAGACACAAAATAACATATATGCATTTTCGACTTCCATATAATTTTGAAAAGTGCCATATAGCTAGACAATACAGTGTGTCCTGGCTAGTCGTACTTGACTCACGTACAGCTAGAACTTTTGGCTAGCCGTACATGCCCATACGGCTAGCCACTTCCTACTATTTTAATTAATTCATATTTTTATTATAATTATTTTTATTTATTTCATATTGATACATGTATCATACTTAAATTGTCTGCTCATTCTATATGACAGTGGTTTATTACTTTTAAACTGTTAATCCCTTAAACAATATGTACTGTGCATGTCATTATACTTTGCTTTAAATTTGTCATCTTATATTGTATAGTTTTTCTCAATCTTGCTACTTTTATTTCTTGCCTATAGTTGCTACTAGTTTTTAATCGGTATGCCTAAAATACGAAAGTGAGATTTTTGACGAAAGTGAGCGAAAGTGAGCGAAAGTGACTTTTAAAAATTGAATTGTACCGTTTTAATAGAATTTTACAGGGGCTTTACTGTTTGTAGACATATATTATAAGCAACTTATAATATTTCTTTTCAAGAATAATCTCTATGATGATTTAATCGCCATTTATGTGCCCAATTTCTATACACAAGTTCTGAGATCTTCCTTTCGCTCACTTTGAAAAATACGAAAGTGACATGTAAAATATTAAATATAGAGTTTAAATTGAAATTTATACTAAAATTGCAGTTTGCAGACGTATATTATCCGAAATATATAATATTTATTTTCAAAAATAATCATTATGATGATTTTAATCACCATTTGTTTGAATAATTTCTATACACAAGTTCCGAGAGCTTCCTTGCGCTCACATTGAAGAATACGAAAGTGACTTGTAAAATATGAAATAAAGCGTTGAATTGAAAGTTATACATATATTGCATTTTTCAGGCTAATAATATCAAAAATTAATATTATTTATTTTCAAAAATAATCATTATGATGATTTTTACCCCATTTTTTTCTACATAATTTCTATATATACATGTTCAGCAATCTTCCTTTCGCTCACATAGAAATTACGAAAGTGACCTCTACAATATCAAATATAGAGTTTAATTGAAATATAGTTTTGAATATCAAATTATTGATTTCTGAAAATATACGTTTACAAACTGCAATTTTCAATTCAAACTCTATACAAGAATGAATTTGATATTTTACAAGTCACTTTCGTATTTTTCAATGTAAGCGAAAGGAAGATCGCTGATATTGTATATAGAAATTATGCAAAAAATGGGCTATAAATCATCAAAATGATTAATTTAGAAAATAAATAATATTAATTTCTTATAATACACAAACTGCAAATTTAGTACATTTTCAATTTAAACTCTATATATTTAATACTTTACAAGTCACTTTCGTATTTTTCTATGCAAGAGAAAGGAAGATCACTGAACTTGTGCCAATAAATGGCGATTAAATCATGATTATGGTTATTTATTATAATATATATAATTAGTTGCTAATAATATAAGTCTACAAACAGCAATTTTACTGTAAAATTCTATTAAAACGGTTCGATTCAAATTCTAAAAGTCACTTTCGCTCACTTTCGTCAAAAATCTCACTTTCGTATTTTAGGCAAACCCGTTTTTAATGTTTTAACTTTTCTGTTAGTAAATTACTAAATATCTTTTATGTCTTTGTTATTGTCAGTAAAGAGCTTATTAGCTAATGTTTCCTGTAATTTGTAAACCAACTTTAAATAAAGTTTTTTGTATCTTGTAGATCACGATGTGCTAACTAATCAAAATGATCAGGGCTGGCAAAATCTAATTTTGACTTACTTGTAAGTTTTTATGTGAAGCATTTTTTAACTTGTCCATATGATATTTACATAGTCTATTCTTAATTTTCACTTGTCCGTACTGTGAAACAACCTGGGCAATACCAAAGGGACCCGACACAGTGTTGGGATAGTGTAAAAAAATAATTGTAGAAATTTTTTTTTATACTTTATATATAATATCCTAGTCAAAATATATTGACGTGCCAAAGCTTGATTCTGAGATATTTTCGTTTTGGGGCAGAATCTCGCTTTAACGGTAGAGGCGAGATATTGCCCAGACACGAAAATAGCACAATATCTCGTCGCGCAGTACAATAAGTTGGACTATATAATATCCCAACACTGTGCCTGGTCCCTTTGGGCAATACGTATTTTGCCAGCCCTGATGATTACAAAGTTCGAGTTCATGATGAAAGCAGCTGAGGTCATGTCTGAACATAATTCTAAATCGGGAATAATTGCAATCTCAAATTAATCAAATTCAAAGATAAACTTTTTGTTTGAAATTTAGAATAATGTGTCCGAGGACTACTCCACTATAACGTTAGTAGCGTAAGTAAAGATGAGCTATTGGGAACAATAAATAATATTTACCTCTATCTACATTACATCTTATTTGTGCAGACCATACTCATCACCAGTCTTTCCATCAGTTAAACAGTTCCATATTTTACAATTTGAAAAAAATAATCGTTTTCCTAATTTTAGCAAGGGAGGTAAATCAAGCTGTCCTAGCTTACGAAGCAAAGGGAGACAACTATGTCGGAGTTTGCGTTTAGCGGCTCGGGCGGTTATTTCCCTTGACCTATAGTTCTATGCAAAAAAAAAAGAAAAGAAAGAACAGAAAAATAAATATAAAAAAAAATGTTTCATCTTATTTTTCAAAAATTATTTAATGATTTTTTTTAAAATTTAAACTTATGTATCAGACTGGATTGTACTGTTTTTCCATGGGTGCTTTTTATCATTTGGATGTTAGAGATGTTATTTTATAATGTCATTTGAAAAGAAATCAATATGAACAAGTAGGGCCTATAATGTTGACGCTGAAAATGAAAGACGCCACCAAATGATATGAACGGTCACAGGTTACAATTGATTAGTGCTTCAAGGTTGATTTTGTACATTACCAGGTAATGTACAAAATCAGCCTTGAAGCACTAATCAATTTTTCTTGGTATGTGCTCGTTGATTAATAAGTAGCCAATCTCATTTTAAATCAAAGCACAGAAGGCGCTGAATTTGTTTGGGTCTTCGAATATCAGAAAGGTGAAGGTTGTGAGATTATAGATATTCAATTCAATGTTTATTTGACTTAAACAATTTGGAAAAAAAATGAGTTGCCTTAAGTGGGATTTGAACTCCAGACCTCTCGCTTGCAAAACTCTCGGCCACGGTGCAGTTATATGTTAACGGCCTGAAGAAAACCATATCATTCTAAATTAGGGTTTGTAACCCTTATTATTTCGACGCAAACTGTTGTTAAACACAGATGTAAATAATCATGGAGCTTACTATAAGCACGTATATCTATAAAGAATGAAACAATATGAAAAATATTCGACATTTCGGGAACTATCTGGCTTGAAAATTAATGCGCCTGTCATTTGACCATCTTTACGCAGTGATCTCCCCTGAATTTTTCTGCGTTAGTGTACATATAAAGGGAAGTAACCGCTTCAAAAAAACGGACTACTTTCGGCATTTGCAATTAACAACACCAGGGTCTGAAATTTCGCTACCAAAATCAGATCATCGTTTTCGCTTGTTACTCTTCGCAACGAGCGTAGGGTAGTGGAGTGACATGTACAGTTAGGATATGATATTAATGAGATGAAAAAGTAGCATATTTTTGTGAAAAAGTAGAACCTAATGCACAAACTCTAAAAATTCCAGCTGGAACAAAACTTTGGAATATGCTATCATCCTATCACAGTCACAAATCCAGTAACTAGAGAGAGCACATAGACAATACAGTAAATAATATCTTCAACGGATTCCAAAATAGCTTTGAGTCAGCATTGAATATTTTATAGGTAGGAGGAATTAAGATCGGGTTATTTGGCAAGTTGTGTACTTTGGATAGCCCAAAAAGAATCAAAACAATGTTCATAAAACGATTGTTAATGTTCATGTCAACCTCTCAAACATGTACTGGTTTTATACCAGACATTTATAGAATTATTGAAAAATATGGCTTAACCTACGTGTTTATAAATTTCATAAACGATGCGATATTTCCTCCTTCAATTCAAGGGATATTATTGATATCAAAATTTATATAAATGCAGCTATGCTAATTTAGAGTGTAAGTGCGATAAAAGTTTAAAGAATCTTTACAAAATTCACAATCGTCCAAATTTATTTTATGATCCTGCCATTTAAATTCAAATGACTTTCCTGTATTCATATTTAAAGTACAATAATTATTAAATAACACCCATTTGAAAACAGCTCGTCATTATATATTTTGTGTGCATTTTCTGTACTGAATTGGACAGAATAAAAGACATCTAGAATTTCATATCTATTGCAGTAGTTTAAAGAGGGTAATTGGACACCGTGCACAACTTTATCACAGGTGTACAGATTCACCTATTTCATCACTATAGACCTTTTCACACTACAATATTAACATAGAAACGGAAGTAGCATTTCTCGAATAACGAACGAATAGATTTTATCAGTATTCAACAACCCCATTAACAATTTGATGTAATCTAAATGATTGAACACCATCAATTTAGAATAGTTTCTATGTTGATAAATAACCGATCTAAGTATGTAGCATTTACGCATCAATTCAAGGTCTTCAATATTTGAAAGACACCTCATGATGCATTCGATTCTGGCAAAAGAACCTTCGTGTATTTCTTTACAATATAAAAATGTTATTTTAAAAATAATTTGTATTCAGTTACTACATACTTTTCTCTTATACTATTTGTAACCGTCATTCTGTTTATGGCGATGGACATTGTAAAATGTTTATGCCTTTTGAAATAAAATCTTGAATCTTGCATTTATAAGCATAAGCATTTAGCTATCTCTTGTTGGTACTCTCTTGGTGAGGTACACTTCCTTTGATTATGTAGATTAGCAAGGTACGTAGTGTCAAACAGGTGGACATGTGACCGGTTATTTGTTGTTGTTTTTTCAGCCAGTTTTCAATATCATTCAACCGGAACGTTTTAGTACCATGACATTCCTAAAACGAACAATTATGAAAATCGTAATTTAATAACTTTTACATATACCTATCTTATCAATGCTCGGAATTATTTGTGTGAAGTGACAAATAGTGTGGGATGCATTTACCTTTATATGTGTCATAAAATGCATCTTATTTCGCTACCCATCTGATTAATGGTCTGAACTTCTATTATTAAACATATATGTGTTTGGTATGGTGGCTGATTTGGTTCATTATGCGTTGCGCTGTCGGTAGCGACAACGCAAGCTATATCTTTATCGCCTTTTCGTCTTGTCGCTAGCGACAACACGACAAAGCGCCAAACGGCATGTTGTCGCGCTGTTTGGCGTACATCGTAAAGCTACGGTCTCACTCCCGGCAGAGCCCAGGACCATCCCGGTAAGTTACCGGGATGATCCTGGACGATCCGGGATTGTTGCGGTCACACTTACCACGGCAGCACTACGGTAGTTCCTAACTAACCACCCAGGTTGCGCTCCGGATCATCAAGGCAGAGCCCAGGTGAAGCCTCGGTTCATGCCGGTGCTTCCCCGGTCGTTCCCGGATGACGCCGACAGAGCCCCGGTTGACCCAGGCAGAGCCTCGGGCGATCCAGGCAGAGCCCCGGTAGAACCCCGGTGGATTGAAAACGACCGAAAATGATAATTTTGATACATAATTTTTATTTAATATAATATCTATTGTTCCAGAATAGTAATTTATGATGATTTTCGTTGCCGGCAGAGTTACGAATGTAATCCATTTGTTCCGGTCGCACCCCGGATCACCCCGGACGTCTACCGGGGCTCTGAGAGACATATATATATATATTCCTTAGAACATTGACGAAACCTTGCCCACAACTCAACAAAATATAATCATTTGATATACTCTATATCATTTGCTGAATCTTACTATGTGCTATAGTATTTAATATTTCACAACTTTGGGATATTCTCATTAATAGTATAGAAACCGCTGTTTGGCTAAAATTTCATTCCAACTTCGCCTGTAAAAACCTGGAAAGAATGCTCGTGCATATCGACCGTGCATACGGTAAACATGTGTTTGGTATCAGTCCGAGTTGCATATCTAACAGTCAGTCAAACTCATCCATTTATTTTGGCGGCAACACCTTCTTTTATCCATGAATCATAATTATAATGGTCTCATTGGCAATGTCATTTCCGTTACAGGTATACAAATAAATATAAATAATTCAACGAAATCCAACCAGTGCATGTTCATTATTTAGATATTTTAACAAATAGAACACAAATTTGCTGGTATGAGCATTTTAATTAAGGAAATACTTTATTCAATGAACTCTTCAGATTCTTAAAAAAAAACTGATGACTAGGTATAATAAACTTCGTCTATTCTTTCACACCATACATGATTTAGTGTTTATTTTCTCTTTACTTATTTTGAATGTGAAGAAAACTGTCAAGTAAGTCACCTAGATAATCAATATACTCACATAAATATTCATACTGTAAATCAGCCAGATTCAAAAAAAAGGGCCAAATACTTTAAAATGTTGTCCTTGATCTTTGTATATATTTTTATCGTTTTTCTAGAAAATAAATTGGTAATGCATTGTACTATAATAATGATATATCATCAAATTGACGTAAATGTATTATACAATTCATTAGAAGCAGCATATTATACTTTAAATTTATGCTTGCAAAGGACAAGGGCTGTGTGTGTGTGGGGGGTAGCAATTTTTGCATGTCCCAAGCTAAAACCAAGATTGCCAGTCCTTTCATTCTTAATTCTGTCTACTCCTACTCGTTTTTTTTGACAATTTGGGCTATTTAAAAAAAACTGTGGATGGCAATAAATAAATCCATAAATATTATTTTTGATTTAAAAGTCAACATATTTTAAAATAATCTTTACGACAACAATGTCTAAGGGAATATTGTTTCCTACTATAGCGATATAACGATTTTAGATGCCCATTTAAAGCACAAAAATCAAATCAATAAACCATTTACGTTTTATCCAAATGATATTTAACATTGTTCAAGTGTTATCAAAATGGTTGGTTTCATGTCTGCAAAACGCACAATTTTACAGCCCATTATTATTTTAAACATGTCTGTAATCTGCAATCATTCCTCCGTAACGGGTAAATTTTATCAGTCGGTTACAATACACATAATAAACACAAGCTATAAAAGCTATTTTCCGACATAACAAGACTATCCTTTAACATGCAACAATAACCTGTATACATTTTCAAAATATTTAGAGACTCAGTCGTTCATCTGTGATAAAAGCTGTACATAATTAAGATAAATAAGCACATTTGGATAAAAAAATGAACCACAAACAGACTTAAAAGCATTTTATATATTCTATATACTCACTAAGCATAATTAGCAAATATTATAACAACAAGAGCTGTCACAGGAGACAGCAAAGCTCAACTAATAAAATATTGGACGCAGTAAGAAAGACAAAAGTATGAAAGAAAAATTAATTATGTATAATTATGTATCAAGTTATAGTAAAAAAAT